TTGACTGACTGTTGAGGTGCTGGCCCAGAGAAGCTGTAGATGTCCCATCCGTGGAGGTTCAAGGCCAAGTTGTAAAGGGCCCTGTGCAGCCTGGTCTAGAACTTGATCTAGCAGCTGGCAACCCTGTCTGTAACAGGGTGCTTGGAACTCGATGATCCTTGAGGTCCCCTCCAACCCAAGCCATTCTGTGACCGCAGTTAGTTAAATTACCTCCCGAATAGAAACATACAAGCACACAAAAAGGAAACACAGACCTTTGGAGAGACAGAGGTAAAGCAATAGCAAAACTATTTCCACACTGAAAAAAAATCTGCAAGTTGACACCACCTCTTGAAATGTTCAAATGCTGTTTATTTACAGTTACTGCCTTTCAGGAACTCTTTTTACATGGTATTTCTGAGGCCATCTTGGTGTCAGGACAAAACTAAGCATAAAGATCACCTGTCTAGTAGACTTCACGATGTAGCTGCAGAAGAGAATACTCTTCAAGCAAAAGTAACAGAAAAAGAAAGGTAAATGAGATCACTCCTCTCACCAGTGACCAGGACTTAACTTCAGATACTAAGATGGACTATAATAACACAGAAAACTCTGGATTACCCGTGGACATATTACCTTGATAGTAGATCTCATCAAGCTGATTTTACTTGAAGCTATTCAAACCCCATGGGTAAACAGTGTTTAATCATGGGGATTTAATCAAAATCTTAATACTTCAAAGGAACTTATTTGTAAATACTGTGGGCTCTAGCATTGTTAAAATAAATAACACACCTCTTTTCCTCCATAAAGTGATACTTCTATGACTTGAAGCACTTTTTTTCCTGTTCTGTAGAGTTTTTAAGTTTACATTTTCTTCCTTAGGATCCCATTTTAGCAACCTCTCTGAGTATCACACCAGCCTATACAAAGCATACACACACAGCACAGTTAATTCTGCAGTTCAGCAGCCCTCAGCCATTTCAGTGACACCATTTTGTGAATTGGTATGCCCTGGGCTCCTGCTCCATCATGACCACGGCTGCCATGAATACACAGTACAAATCATTTCAACACTTCTGAAACGCCCCAGTGCCAGCATGTATCGCTAGGCAGGGAGGAGTTGGGCTGCAGCTCCCGCTGTGTGAACACCTCCTTGCGACTGCTGATTAAGCCCCTGCTTAAGCTCTTCAAGAACTTCCACGTGTTTTGACTAGACAGAAGGTACAGAAAGACTGCGATGCACAATGTGAGAACTCCCTCAGAAGTAACTGCTCCAAGATAAACTCCAGAAGTTTGCAGTAAGATTATAAAGGCTCCAATGGTCAAAGTTGGCACGCAAACCGCTTACCAACCTTCCCCCTTGCATTTCGCAACACATAAACGTGGAATGATGCATTCACAAAAACAACATCACTGCTCTCACTTCGTAACATCAACAAAAGCAATTAACGCAAAGCCCACTGTAACACAGTAATTCCACCAACGCAAAACTCAAGGATAAAAGCACTGGTTCAGATGAAAGCCCACACAACCCACAAGTGACATCCTGCACGCTAGTTCACAAACGGTGTCCTCCCTTCCAACTGCATCCAAATTGTTTTACGTAAGATAATTAAAGGACTTCTCCTGCACAACTGCTTAAGCCGCTTCTTTCTCACTGCCATAACGCCCCGTGACAGCCCACTGCACAACTCCAGCTGTGCGAATAGAGCAGCCCCCGCTTCCACGACAGACACAAACAATAAGAAATGCCTCCTGCAGGTTACCTGCTTCAGCCGTACCCCGCTCCCTCCTCCACTGCCACGTTCTGTTCCTCTGTTCTCCCCCGCCCCAGAACGCCAAACGGCCGCAGCCCCGCAGGGACCCCCGCCGCCGGCCCAGCACCCCGTCCGAGGCCCAGAGGAGCCCCCGAGAGCCGTCCCGTGCGGAAGGGCCCCGAACGCCGCGAACTGCGCACCGCCAGACTCCTTACCTGAGGCTGCACGGTGGAAAAGGAAAACATTCTCCCAGCAGCGAGCACGGGGCGCCGCCCCGCTTCCCGGCCCACGAGAGAAAGCCGTGCCCTCCCGCCGCCCGGCCGCTGTAGCAGCCGCCGCGAGCAGGAGGACCCCGCCGGCCGGGAAAATGGCCGCCCCCTGCGGCCGGCCGCCACCAGGCCCGGAGCGAGCCCGGAAGCGGTGGAAGAGCTTCCGGATCCGCCACCTACCGTCCGCCCCGCCCCGCCCCGCCCCGCCCCGCGCCAGGTTGCTCAGCAACCCATTTCTCCCTCAGCACCGCGCCTTCTACGTCGAGAGCTGGGGCACGCGCTGAGGTTCCCGCCCGCGCGGGAACGGAAAGCAGCGAGGCTGGTGGGAGTGGTTTGCGGCCGAGGGCTCCGTCTAAGCCTCATGTACCGGCATATCCATGATCAGCATCGATAACCTAAATGCTGTTACTCACGTTCAGTTACAATGTAATCTAAATGATAGAATGGGCACGTATACCTGTGCATAGCAGAAACTGGTCTTCGATATTCATCTTTTCTCCTTGCTTTGAGCTGTCTTTCCACATGCCCAAAAATTACTTTTGGATGTTTATAATCATTTTCTTTCTTTCACCTGACTGCTGTTGTTCACCGTCGTTCCTTCCTTCACCAAAAACACCAGTTTTCACAAATCCAAATCAGCATTGCCTTCATGCATCTTCCTGCTGCCTTCCACAAGCACCAACACAATGACCACAATGTGGGTCAGTCAGCTAATTTGGCAGAATCTTCACACAGCAGTACAAAGAGGCAATTAGCGTTGCCCAGGATCCACCCGGTGAAGTTTTCCATACCGCTGATGTTGCATCCAAGCATTATGCTGATGGACTGCCTGGTTACACAGGCTGCCAGGTTACACTGATCTGAGAGTGCGATGCCACCGAAAGGCCATCCTTCCTGCTGTCAGCTGTGCTTTTCTCCTTAAACTGCTGCTGACAAAAGGCAACAGCTGAACTAGTGCTGAAGAGTTAAATGAGAAACAGCCATTGATAAGCTGACTTCATTTGAGAAAGCTTATTTACAACATTGTTTCCTACGTTGGCACATTAACAAGCAAAACTTCCACTGGCAGTGTCAAATTGTAAGCAAAGTACGTGCCCTAAAACAAAACAGAAGTCTGATGACACTGTCTTACTGAGTTACTGAAGACCATAGGTCTGCACTGACCTCTAGAGAGACAGCTCTCTGCTAACATAGAGACGGCAGCAAGGCAATTAAAACTGGTTGGAATGAATTATTGACAGCAATGTATACAGAAAAGCAAGATAAAAACAACAGGTGAGGGATATTAAAAAATAAAGACCAGGAGAACAGCTGAGAGCTGTAAAACTGGTAAACACTGAGGGCCCTAAAACTGAGAGCCTCCACTGAAGGCCTCCACTCTAATAGGGCTGTATCACAGATGGTTTGTCGCAAGGCCATGGTTTGGTAACGGGAAGATAGCAACAAGGTTACTTGCATTGCATGTGCCATTCTCCTTCCTGCTGTTACAACAGGAATACAGACTGTAGCTGTAGAGATACACCAACTGAATAAAGAAAACACACAGCAACCTGGCCTAAGACAAACAGAGACTGAAGTAAGAACTGGAGGGGCAAAAGTTCACGGAATCTTTGAACCACAGCATGGCTTGGGATGGAACAGACCTTACAGCCCACCCCATTCCAACCTCCTGCCAGGGGTACAGCTGCCACTCACTAGGGTGTCCCATCCAACCTGGTCATGAACACTTCCAGGGATGGGGCATTCACAGCTTGTCTGAGCAACTTGTTCCAGCCCCTCACCACCCCAAGAGAAGATTTTTCTCCCAGCATCTAATCTAAATGGTCTATTTTTCAGTTTAAAACTGAAAATTTTAATTGAACTGAAATTCCTTTTTGCCCTATCAGACCACATAAAAAGTTGATCTGTCTCCCCTTCATAACCTCTCTTTATGTTCTGGAAGACTTCAGTGAGGTCTCCCTGCAGCCTTCTCTTTTCAAGGCTGAATAAGCCCAGCTCCCTCAGCCTTTTTTCACTGGAGAGGTGCACCAGCCCTCTGATCATCTTCATGGTCCTCTGATCACCTTCACAGCCTTCCTCTGTACCTACTCCAGCAACTGTCTCTTTAACAGATCACATCACACTAGTTCCTCATCACAAGAGCTGCTCAGAAAGCAGTTTGTCAACTCCAATCCACAGGAATCCAAGCCTGGCTATGCAATCCTTGATTTTGCTACTTTTAAGTATACAGGTAGGGGAAGACGTGTGCATGAAGCATACCTGAAAATAAGTATGGGGGACCAAAATCAGTCCTTTCTTCCTAAGTATTACCTTCCCATTCCTTCCTGTGTCGCACTGCATTCTATTAAATTCCTGAACCTTCAGGCATCCCACAGAAGCACAGAGGCTGCAACTGTCAACTTTCTTTTGAGCAAGAAATCTAGATGACAAATTCTTAGGTAGTCAGTCAGAACAACAGCAACATCTTCTGTAACATCATCACCAGTTATCACTAAAAAAATAGCCCCCCCCCCCCCAAAAAGGCTGTTTTTAGCTGCTGTGGATGACAGAGGGAGTAAATGATCAGGGAGCGCTCCCAGTCAGGCCACGAGGAGGAGCTGCGGTGCAGCAGAGATGACAGGACGCCATCAACGCAAAGCGCGGGCGCTGGGGCAGCATTCACGCACTGGGAAAGCTGCGGTGAACTTCAGTCCACTTCTGTCAACAACAACCACTTAGTTCTGCGTGGTTACGCACAAAAATTGTATAAGCCTTCAAGAAGCAGACACGGCCACCAGGCTGGGCGGTAGCCCAACATAGCCGCACCATAAGCCGCTCGGCACCGCCACACCCACCACCCGCCATCACAGCTCCCAACGGCCTTAACGGCCGCAAGTGCTCGCGAGAGTGCCGCCTTTCCCTGTGCGGCGCCCGTGACGTCTCGGGGCGGAGCGCCGCTTTGAACTGGCGCGGGGCGCGGGGCGGCGGCGCGATATGGGCACGGTGGAGCCGCGGTCGGGCGAGGGTGGTGCTGCCGGCCCGAGGCGTATCGAGGTGCCCCGGCCGCCTTCCATCGAGGAGTTCACCATCGTGAAGCCCATCAGCCGCGGTGCCTTCGGGAAGGTGTACCTGGGCCGTAAGGCGGGCCGGCTGTACGCCGTGAAGGTGAGGCCGCGGGGCGGGGACTCTGAAGCCCCGTCAGCTCCATGAGCTCCATCAGCTCCCGGCGCTGGGCGCATCCGGAGCGGGGATGGCGGGGGGCTGCGGCCGGGTTCGGAGGTGGCGTGAAAAAGATGAGGTAAACGCTGGCGTTCAAAGCTGTATGCGCTTATATGGCTTTGTTGTGAGCGCTGCCACCTCTGGAGCTTTGTATAAAGTCCTTTATCCTAAGGACGTCAGGGGGAAATTCTTTACAGAGGGAGTGATGAGGTGCTGGAACAGGCTGCCCAGAGAGGCTGTGGATGCCCCGTCCCTGGAGGTGTTCAAAGCCACGTTGGATGGGGCCCTGCGCAGCCTGGTCTGGTATTAAATGGGGAGGTTGGTGGCCCTGCATGTGGCAGAGGGGTTGGAGATTCATGATCCTTGAGGTCCCTTCCAACCCTGGCCATTCTGTGATTCTGTAATTCTGTGATTCTAATGCTATGCAGCTGAAGGGTTGTTTACTGCTATAAAAGGCGCTGAACATTTTTACAGTTATGGCCAGGTAGCTGTGTGCCCAGCTTTCAAGGTGTGTTGTGAGTAGAGCATGTGAATCAAACTGACTTCAGCATCACCAGGACACAGGTGCTGGAGGTTGGTGAGCTTCCAGTGAGTGTGCAGTGTGTGCTAACTGCCTGTCAGCTGTGCATGGCTGTGATCAAGTGAAAAGGGGTCTCCAGTAATGTGTGATTTAGGATCTGCTTGTTACGTAGAGCTCTGTTCCTAAAACTATTATACATATATTTATATTGCACATGCGTGCAAGTTTACAGTATAGAGATGGATGAAGAGCAACTGTAGGTTGTGTGCATAGGAAAAGAATGTATATCTGCTGGGTTTTTTTTTCTCCCTCCTTCAGGTGATGAAAAAAGCAGACATGATCAATAAGAACATGGTTCACCAGGTCCAGGCAGAGAGGGATGCTTTGGCTCTCAGCAAAAGTCCTTTTATTGTGCACTTATACTACTCACTTCAGTCAGCCAATAATGTCTATCTGGTGAGTAACTGAGCGGCACGGGTCTTCCATTACAGCACTGAAAATGGAGTGCAAAACTTTAGTAATGTCTGAAAATAGGAAAGTCTTTTCTAGTGGCTAGTCTGTTTTAGGAAGATGTAGAGAAGTCTTTTGGAAAACAAAACAAGAAATCATTCTGTTCAAACAGAGAAGAAGGGTCATTGAAAAGATTCTGAGGCTCACTAATGTAGAAGTCTGTTATTTGTTGCCTGCCCTCAAAATGCATTAAGGCAGTTGGCCTGGGTGGTGAGGGGGTAAGTGGGTGGCAGAAGGAAGCGCTGATCAGTGTGGCAATTTGTGGAATGCAGCAGGGCTTAAGCATGCCTTTGTCACCTGCCTGTACATAGAAAGAGCATGGTTTAAGGTTGCCTGCAAAAGGTCTGGCACATCTGGTTTGCTGTAGACATATAGTGTGCTGATTACAGTACAGTTTGTGTATGAAAGGTATTCCTTTTTTGGGCTCTGTTAATCACTGCTCATCAAGTAGATGCCTGAGTCATATATACATGTACACCTCTACATGCATTAATATGTTGTATGTTAATATCTAAATACTGATGAGGCTTCTTGACAAAAAGATTTTTTTTACCATTGAAGAATGTTACATGGGTGTAGTAATATGGTTTTATGTGTTTTTTTTAAATGTGCATCTCTTTTAACTGCTTTCACATGTGAAGTGCTCTCACTCTACCCTATATTTCTGTAAACTCACCATTATTTCATAAGGCTTGGGTCAGAATTTCATGTTGTACGAACACTTGCAAGATGAAATAATTTAGATAATTGTTTTTGAACAAATCAAAATGTCAGTGGTTGCTTTCAGGCCTTGAGTTTCACAGAGGAGTGTAACAATTCATTTTTTATGATGCATACATTTTTGGAAGCTGACACCTATTCCAGAAAGTAGTATAGGCAAAAAATGGAAGGCACTAATGCCTGTGAACAGAACATGCTTAATATCCACTTTCATTTATTTTATACAAGTGAAAAGCATTGTGTGGGAAAACGAAGTAAACTACCACAAGGAAGATTCTGCAGTTCTTTACTCTTTGAAATGATATTTTCTTGGATGTAAAAGCTTTTAGACTTACAAATTTGAAATGTATTTTAAATTACCATAAAATCTTTGAATGGCAGGTGATGGAGTACCTTATTGGTGGTGATGTCAAGTCTCTACTCCATATTTATGGATATTTTGATGAAGAAATGGCTGTCAAGTATATTTCTGAGGCAGCACTGGCTCTTGACTATCTTCACAGACATGGGATAATCCACAGGTAAAACCTACTTTCTTACTATAAAAAATGACTTGGTAGCTTAGGGTTGTGGTTTTTTTTGTTTTTTTTTTTGTGGTTTTTTTTTTTTTAGCCTTCTAGGAATTTACATTTTGTGAAACAAATATATTTGCCTTAATCATGTGCTCGCGATGCGGCCTTTACTAAGGACCATATGTGTTCACGATGCCTGTATGTTTTATTTATTAGGTAACATTATATGTGCATCTTATGCCCAGACGTGTGGCATGCCACCTGTAGGTCAGTTCTTTGTAAAGTGCCTATGAAAGGACAGCAACCCGCTGCTGTTCAGGCAGTGTATGGGGTTACTGGCTTGTGTTGCCTGTGGTGGCTTTCTGGCTGACATCACATACCTATCTTCTTTGTTAACTAAGTACTGGTGTGCAGAACAGGCTGATTCTGCATTTAGACTGCTATTTTCTGTTCACTAAAGGAAAAACCATTTATTGATCATGACGGAATTATGATTATTTTGGGAAAACTTCTGCAAAGCAACTATAACCGGGTGGAGCACAGTTGGGTTTTTGCAGGCAAGAACTTAATTTCATTGGATTTTTTCTCCAGCTTCCCCTCAAATGCCAACAGCCATTCCATAGTAACAGTTACCCCATTTGATAGTTTCCAGAAGCTCTTTTTGCATTTGTATGCTGCAACTATGTCATGAAGCACCAAAAATAGAATATATCCATGTAAGTTAGCAGAAAAACATGCTATTTTCCTCTTCCCTTCCTGTCCCAGGAAGTGCTGTACAGACAAGGCTGTTAAATGAGTGCAAGTTCCAGAATCCTCTGAATACTGTGAGCAGAATAGCAGGACAATGAGATGTTTACTACTCTTAATGACTGTGTTCTCTGCTGCTTGTAGCAGCATACAAAGAACACACGTAAGCTCTTTTTAGTTGAGGTTTGCTTATCATGCTTGTTGTCATGTTCTCAGCTACACATCGGTAAATTTTGTGGCAGTAGTACTCAAGAGCACTTATTAAAGCCTCCATATCATAGAATGTGCAAGTTGTGATGTGCGTGGTGATGTTACTTGGCTCCAGATGTCTGTACAACATCTAGTTCTAGATTTGTCTGAGTGTTTTGGTGTATTTCTGCAACTGGAATCTTCTGTCGTAGCAAGAGACCTTACTACTGACAATCAGCATTATTGCCAGTTGTTTTGCACTGTATGTTTCTGTTCGGGTAGTTTCTGTAATGTTGTCCAGTTATCTATCTTTTTGCTGACTGCAACTGTGTTTGTGTCTTCAGGGATCTGAAGCCAGACAATATGCTCATTTCTAATCAGGGCCACATAAAGCTGACAGATTTTGGGCTTTCCAGAGTTACTCTGAATAGAGGTAAGTGTTTCCTGTGTCTTACTTCCTAGAATCATAGAATAGTTTGTGTTGAAAGGGAGCTTTAAGATCACCTAGTTCCAACCCCTCTGCTGTAGGCAGAGACACCTCCCTCTAGACCTCTAGGTTACTCAAAGCCCCATCCAGCCCCATCCATGTTTTTTTGGACATGCCTCTGTATTTTTTGAATGCTTTACTTCCTTGTAACAGGCATCTTCCATTTAAATAAGCCCAAATACTGCACTAGCACCTGATTTCTACAAAGTACTGATTAAGTGCCTGCTAGCAAGGGAGCTGTTCTGTGCTGTGCACTTTCAAAGCATACTTATTTATTCTTTGGGGCAGGATGTGTGAAAAATGAGTTATTTCTCCTAAGGGAAATGAATTTCAAAGTTTATTGTGGAATCTTGTAAGGGAATTTGAAGAGTGAATAGGTAATTATTTTTCTTATTGTGCCTCTGATCATTTCTATCCTTCACTGCTTTCTTTTCTGTCTTTGTGTATATTCATTTCCAGCTTGAACTGGGACCCTCCCCACATAAACTGGAGGGTGCAAGAGCAGGTTGAAGATGTGAACTTAAGCCTAATGAAAGATAAATCTGAACATGCTGTTTTCAAGTAGCAGAAATGTGTAGCTGAATAGTCAACCTGAACTTTACCTGCTTCTTTTTCAATGTTTGTAGATATAAACATGATAGATATCCTTACTACACCATCGATGGCAAAGCCAAAACATGACTACTCACGTACTCCAGGACAACTGTTGTCTCTTATCAGCTCTCTGGGTTTTGTAAGTAATTTCTACTGTTTTTTTAAGTACCTGGTTATTTTATTCTCCTTATCTTTAGTAGGAATTATAAGGCTATTCTTACACTCCTTCTGACAGCATTTCCAAATGCTGACTGCCAATTCTGATTTAAAACAAACAAAAAAAAAGTTATGCTCTATCTCCAGTGCAAATTTAATAAGGAATGTGTGAAGTTACACTCAGTATCTCAGGTTCTTTGTTCTTTGTTCCCTGATCTAAATGTGTATGTTTGGTGGCCCTGCCAGGCAGGGGGGTTGGAACTACATGATCCTTGAGGTCCCTTCCAACCCGGGTGATTCTGTGATTCTTTGTTCAGGCTCTGTTAACTTCTGTGTATGCTTCTTCCTGTCTGATAGTATACTCCTGTTGGAATGAAAATGCCGATCAATCCCAATTCAGGCGGAGCATCTGACAGTCTGCATGAAGTGATTTCACCCTTACCTATGATTGAGAAGGAAAACACTCCTCTTTCAACTAAATTATTCAAAACAGGTGAGTATACAAAACCTTGTACTGAGAAATACCCTACTCTGTACCATTGTCCTTCTTCTGTTTTATATATCTTTTGAATGTTATGAGGAACTTGAACCCACTGGATGAAAGTTGTTTACAGTCTTGCTATTTACCATTCTTCCATACTTCAGCACTGACACTCCTTCAGCTCAGTTACTGATGTAGTGTTTGGATTTCTTTTGAGTGAATAACTACTGAATTCAAAATTACTCTTTGGGGTTTTACAGAAATGGTACCAACTTTTATATGAAAATGGTTTAATATAGCAATATGTGCTCTCATTTCAATTGTCTGATTTTTTTTTTTTTTTTTTCTAACCAGAAATGCAAAAGTAAGTAATTATGTTGCTATTAGTAATGTTGCTTTTAAGCTCTTGGCAAGTGCCCACCTCAGGGAGAGGAAAAAAAAAAATGTTGATTTACCATGCAGAAAAGGATATGAAAACTTGATATCACACAGCTTCCTGTAACTTCCTTTAGTGTGAAAGCTTGGCCTAATGTGAAGCTGGTTAATATAATATATGCTGCATGTGGGGATCAACATTTGAATTTTTATTTTTGATTTATTAGTTTAAAAAAATATATACGCATGTATACACCTGCCTACATTTATCTGTCTAAATCTTTTTCTCTCTCCAGGTCTGGATACTTCTCCATTAACTCCTGTTATGCCCATGAGGAGTTTAACTCCTGCTCTGCTTAAGTCAAGGGAAAGGTTTGGTACCTCCACTGCCAGTAGTCAGTCTCATATGTATTTGTCCAGTATGGAATCAGAATGCTGCAGCAGCCCCAGGTGGGAGAAGGATGTAGAGGTCAGGACTGTTTCATTTTTCTACTACAAATTAATATTAGCTTGCACTTCTGTATGCATGATTGTAGGTATCTTTATTTCCTTCTCCCAGTTATTGCAGATTTAGAGAGGCCTTCTTACTGGACAAAGAACAGAGATTGTAATCAGTGTTGAACAGGAATTTTGAATCAGCCTAGTGGTGTTACTGTCATCCTCACACAAATGGTAATTCTGTGCAACGTGCAGAAAAAGCAAATGTCATCTACCTGCTGCAAAGCAGCAGAAGAAGGCAACAGTGGTTTGCCTCTGTTCTCTGTAAGGTGTTCAGTGCCGAAGCTTTCTGGGAGCTGAACTTTATCCCTGCAGTTCTGTTAGCTCAGCGTGCAGACTGAAGAATTCCCTCCAAAGTCAGAACTTGGAGAAGGAAAAAACCCAAAAACATAGAAAAGAATCCCACCAATGTTTCAGCTGTTACCACTTGTAGTACTGAGGAGTTTTGTACCAACTGGTCCAGTCAGGAGTTAGTCATAGCTGGCATAAAGTCCTTTCTTATTTTAGACTGTTAATGAAATGTTACTTTTCTGTTTGGTCATTTGCTGCAATTCCAACTTAGATCACACAAGGCAAAGAATTATGCATTGTTTAAAACATTTTCTGTCCATTCCTTAAGGCCTTGTTTCTGTGTTATGTTATCAAAACAAGAGTGGTGTTGCATTTTCCTTTCGTCTCTAGAGTAAAACGTGCTGCAGAGCAATCAGGATAGTGTAGTAGGGTTCCTTGGTTTTGGTGGTTGTTGTGGTGTTTTTATTAACTGCAAACTTCTGTAGCTTATCTTCTTAACGTAAAATTGTTGTGAGTAAAACAACTTTAACCACAATTTCTTCATCCTTACACTCCTAAGATTACTTTTTCTTCTGTATTATTGTAAACTTTTTTTCTTGTTAAAGTCTAATTATCAAAGCTGCTCCCCAGTTTAGTTCTTGGGTTATTTTGAACATAGTATGTATTCCTTTTTATCACTACTGGTGATTATAAAGAATAAGTAGTGCTTGCAACTTGCAGTTTACCACTGAAGTAGAAATAGGATATTTTCAAGGACACGTTTCTGTAATGCTGTAATTTTATTTTTCTCAATACTCAAAACACAATGTGCTCACTTGCAGCAAACTGAAGATGAGATATGTTCTACTACGGGCACAAGTAACAGCAGGCCAGCTCTCTCTTCTAGTAGAGAATTACTAAATAGCAAAGATCCTAAAGTTCTAAAGAAAAAAGAACTAGAATCTGCTATTTCTCCCATCAGTAGCAATGATTCTGGTAGCAGGCAGAAGCTGGGAACCGAACGTTCTGAAATAACAGATACTCCAGTGACTACACTGGATATGAAAGGAGTAGTAAGAAAATGCCTCTCAGAAAACAAGATCTGGGAAGAAAAAGTCATTGCAAATAGAGAGATGACCAGTGAGATGTCAGAAACTGCCAGTTCCCAACAATCACCTTTGTTCCTGAAAGGTTCTGTCAAGCCAATCAAAGAAGAAGAAAGTTTTGAAAAGCCAGGTGTAAAAAGAAGCTTTGAACTTGTTGATACGAGTCCTTGTCAGGAATTTAACCATGTTAAAAAAACAAATGCAGAATATAAACGTGGTTGTCGGATCTCAGAATTTTCAGCAAGCAAAAGTACAGGTTTGACAACTGAAATTCAATCCTTAATGCTTTGTGGTGAGACCTGTGAAAGCAAAGAAGTTATGGGATGTATTGATAGGCAACAAACAGAAAAAACAATTGTTCCAGTTGTAGCCAAAAATCTTTTGTGTGATCTGGATGCGGATCATGAAAAGGATAAAAGAGAGTACATGAACTCAAGTCTTTTGTGCGCTGATGATGAAAAACCTTTAGGAGCCCTGAGTGCAGATTCTGACCTTTCATTTCCTGAAATGTCTGTTCCAGAAAGTCATTTAGAAAAGCAGCTCCTAGATTTGGATAAAGGTGTTAAAGACCTCTCCTTTGAGGAACCTAAAGCAGAAGACTTGCTAACAGCATCACCTGACTGCCAAGATGCTTCACAAAATGGAGGGGAAACAGATGTTGTTCAGAACTGCAGGATGCTATGTTGTGAGCAGGATAATCATCAAAAACACCCTGAAGAAACTTACCCTGACACCACATCGTCTCCTTCTGAAAAGATTATGGGAACAGTTAATCTCTTCAGAAAAAATAATGTTGTTTTTCGAAGTTACAATAGTCCAATTAATATATCTAACGCATCAGATCCATGTAGCATGGCTTCTTTAGACATAACGGATCTTTCACCTGCTTGTAGTGGCTCCTACCCAACAGCTATTACTCCACTGCAGAAAGGAAGACCATACAGAGCCTTTCAGGTATGTAAGGGGACGTGGGATCTGCGTTGGGTGCTGTTGACCTGAAACTTTTCTTTCAGGTGTTAGTTAGGAAAACTTGGAGTAGCTTGAATTATCTGTCAAAATAACTTTTGCTGGCATTCTTTCACTTACTGCATTTGTGTGGCTGACACTGTTTCTGTAAGAGCTTAGCAGTCGATGTATGTTCCCTGACTTGCCTATAATTCAATATGTTGTCTGCCTTCCTCTGAAAAATCCTTTGCTCTTACAGCAAGCTAGTGAAGAAAACCTGTGATACTTTATCTCATCTCTCTCTCAGAGTGTAGTGTGTCCTGTGAGCTATTCTAGCTTTTCTGATGTAGTGGGATGTCTTTGACTTTCTTGTTGCACATCAACCAAGGCAGTCTGGAAATGCTGTTATGCTGCTAGGAATTGCTATTGTGCTTGCTGCTTTTTTCATCATAGGAAAATGGATTTACTGTCAAGTAACAATTAGAAGGATATTATTAAGACTTAAGCAAACAGTAACACCTGCTGTGGATGATGACACTTTTCTTTTGACTGTTAATCCAACTGATGGTAAATAAAAATGTTTTACAGTCAATTAGAGCCTTGGAAATGTGGGAAAAGTAAACATATGTCAGTCTGCATTTCCTGATCTATTTTGGTACAGCTTTACAGATCTTTTCTAATTCCTTAAGCAGCTGGGAGTATTTAAAGACTCCTGACAGAGTGACAAAGCCATTTGTTGGCAGTGCGTTGAATGAAGTTGCACCAGGAGCAGACATTTCGAATGGTGTTTTGGGGAAGGACTCCCTTCTGATTCTGGATTGCTTGCTTGTGTTTCAGCATAAGACTTAATTTACTATGGAACTTGTGTTCAATGAAACAGTCAGTGTACTGTGTGCTTCTCTGAGAAATGACTGGTGTTATATTTCTGTAACTTGCATAGCAAAATGATTACTACTAAAACAGAAAGAAGGTAGATTTTGTAGCCCAACCATATGTTAAAATTACAATTAATTGATCTCTATTGTATTGAAAACAAAACTGGAAAAAAAAGTATACCAGATAGATAAGAATTAAGAGCATATTGAAAAATATAGAGTAAGAGTCTCTGTAAGATACTTCAGTGATCTCTCTAGACCTTAAATGGAAATCTTTCACTGCAGTCAGCCTTACAGGCTCACAAGAAAACCCCACAGATGTGTATTTCCTTCAAATTACATCCCAAATGATTTTCACTAGGTTTGTGTAGCTGTTAGCAGTCACCAAGTCTAACCTGAGGAGAATTTCATCTGCAGGCATTGTGTGTCACATAGCGTGTGGGTTGAAGAATCAATGACTAATTCAGCATGTTTTGAGTACACATGGTATGTAATAAATCGTGTGTTATTTTAGATATTTGAGACGCTTGTTTTTCATTAGCTAGTGTAAAGAACTGTGGGGGAAAATTGGAGGTTTAGACAATATACTTAGTAAATTTTTTTTTTTCAGATTAAAATTTAAGAGGAGTTTAATTTTGAAACATTATTTATGGATTTGATACTGGAAGAGAACTTGGAGTTGAGAAGTTTGGTTTGACTTTAACGTTTTTGTTGCTTACTTGAAGACACCTTGTCAGGGGGATGCTGGCACACCATACAGGACCCCAAAGAGTGTAAGAAGAGGAGCTGCCCCAGTGGAAGCTGAACGCATCCTGGGGACTCCAGACTACTTGGCACCTGAGCTGCTTTTGACAAAGCCTCATGGTAAGACAAACTATGGAGTTTGTAAATGCTTAGAAATGTAGATTAGTTACCTCTTAAATGTGCTTAGAGCCCTCAGCCCCTCAAGTAGGCAAGATTTTTTATTTTTTTTTTGTTAAACACCTGGTTTTGTCTGCTGCCTGCACTCATGGCTGCTTGCCTCAGCAGCTCCCTCCATTTACTTTTTCACAAGGTTTGGGCTCTCTGATGTAGTCTCACTTGTTAACCTAATGCATTGGGAACAGTGCTTAGGCAGCCCGGGACCTTCCTGTTGCTTGGGAATCACAAATTGCTCATTATAAGTTTCCATAAAGACTCATTCAAAAAAAAAAAAAAAAAAAGAGAGATGAAACCAGTATGAAAGGGTCAAGCTTCCAGTTCTCAATGAATTTCACATCTGCTGAAGTGTTGCACGCAGGAAGACAAGTTTATAAAGCTGCGTTAAAACTAGTGATTCTTAAATTGAGATTTCTCACAGGTTCCTCAATAAAACTGGATGGTAGCCATCAAATACTTGTTGAGAATACTATAATAAAATGAAACAACTCGATGTTGAAGTGTGTAAACTTCTTTGACTCTAATACTGAGCTCTTCAAAAGAAAAGCTCTACAGAAAGACCAACATTTTCCTGTTAATTTTCAGACAGCAAAAGTCAGTGTACCCCTTGTATTTATAGTTACATTTTATTTCAAAAAACAACTTTTAGGTTTTTGTAAAGTAAAATTATAAAGTAAATAGTCTTAGGAGGATTGTATTGATGCTACTATTAAATATCCATTGAGAAATAATGATGACTAATCTGTAGAACAGTAAAGTTCTTTGGTCTGCAGTTAACTGCATGGAAACAGTTTAACAGACATAACAAATTTGAGTGTAACTGGACTAACATTACCAAAACGATGTGGTAGTTCTCACCTCTCTAGAAGAGTCATGGTTATTTGGCAGATATTAAAATTGGATAGTGGCTGAAAATATTACCAATCGTACTCCAACCAAATTTTGCTGTGTTTCAAGATGATTTCCATGCAATTATTGAGGGATTTCAGGCCTTCATTAATAACTTGCAAAGGATCTGGGTTTTCTGTCAGTAAATGGAAAAGCTCCCTTTACCTTCATTGAAGCCAGGGTTTGCTGGCTTCAAAACTCAACTTTCCTTCCCTAAATATTCCTGGTGGCGTTAAATTACTTGTAAATGCTGTGACCTTAAAGTAGTTCTGTAACACAGCTATAGTTCTATTAGTAGCTTAGGCTTTAACAGCACCATTTTATTTTTACTGTTGAGTTGCCAGATTTTAACATATCTGTATTCCTGTACTTCCAGAGTTACATTTGGTATCTGTTAATGTTTATATTTGTTAAGGGGTTTTGCAATAATTGTAATGCTTTCTTGCTTCGTTGTCTCTTCACATACAGGGACTCTGATCTCTGGTGAGTTTGCTGTGTACGGCATAGAAAAGAGTGCTCAGCATAACTGCAAGCAATCAAAGTATAATTAGATCACAATTCATGAGAACTCTTGGATGAGCAGAGCCTATATAGAAAGAGATGTGCAACGTGTATTCCACATAATAATGTGGGGCTTCCACAAGAGATTCAGGAAATACCAGTATTGATGAGGCTATCAGACATCAGAGTAATAGAATCACAGAATGGCTTGGGTTGGAAGGGACCTCAGAGATCATCTAGTTCTCTAATTCCAACTCCCTTGCCATGGGCGGAGTTGTCCACCACTAGATCAGGATGCCCAGGGTCTCACCAACCTGGCTTTGAATGCCTCCAGGGCTGGGGCATCCACAACTTCTCTGGGCAGCCTGTGCCAGGACTTCATCACCCTCTTGGTGAAAGAGTTCCCTTTGATATCTAATTTACACCTCCTCTCTTAGTATAAAACCATTTCCTTTTGTCCTGTCACTATCTACCTGTGTAAAAAGTGTATTTCCCTCCAGTTTATAAGTTCCCTTTAAGTATTAAGTAAGTGAAGTAAGTATTAAGTAAGTGAAGGCTCTGGAGCACTTCTCCGGGTGGAATAAACCCAACTTGTCTTCATAGGAGAGGTGCTGCAGTCCTGAGTGTCCTTGTGACCCTTCTCTGGACCCACTCCAGCGGCTTTGCATCTTCCACGTGCTTGGGGCAGATCTGGATGCAGCGTGCTAGGTGGGACCTCAGGAGGGCAGAGTGGAGAGGGACAGTGCCCTCCCTTGTCCTGATTTTGGTGCACACCAAGATACTGTTGGTGTTCTTAAAAGCCATATGTAGTAGGAATGCAGATGCTTTTTTTCCTTACTGGTTCATTTCTGCTTCATGCAATCAGTCTGAATCAGTTTGTGTATGTGAAGGAGAGTCAGATGTTTAAGGCTGGGTATTTCTGCCTTGGTCTCCAAGTACTGATAGACCCGACTTGGTCAGGATGTGGTTGGAGTTAACTTCAGTTAAACTTGAGGTGAGAGGGGTTTAAAATTGCTGCAGAGCCCTGTGTTCCTGCTTTGTTTGGAGTTGTGATCTAATTAGATTTTGACTGAAGCTGGGAGTTCTTGACTTGAGCATCCAAACACTTCTAACAGCGATGGATGTGATTTCACTGCTCTGATATGCTTAGCTTGGTGGGGCACTCTACTGCTGTTAGAGGTTGCTATAAGTGCATTATACTAGCTATACAGCTTGCAGCTTTTCTGAAGTTGGTTAAATAGTCCTTTTGAAATGGCTGGGAACACTTTTATTTTTCAATACTAAAAAACCCTTAAAAATTACCATTTCCTTTTGTTTCAAAATTCTTTTTTGCAGTGTGTGGCATCTGTTCTTTATTCGGTGGCACAGGCATAGCTTGAAGATGAAGAAAGTTTAGAGTGCATGCAGTGGTGTTTGAGACTGCTTTGCCTGCTTGTTTTTAAGGGGTTTAATAAGATTTTGCAAAATCCAAAACTTGGAAAAATGAAAATAGCAAAGTTGTGAGCGCTGTTAACTACACTGAAGCCCTCATCAGCTTCAATGACATGGAAAGTAATTCCAGTTTTTCACATGCTGGATGCTCTCTGCAGGCTGTCTTGAGTATTTTTGGCACACATTTTGGTAAATGAAGTTCTAAGTGTGAGTTCTTTGGGTATTCTCAAAGACCTGAGGGAGAGAAAGATACAGGATGGCAAGGTGGAGTATTTGTCCAGATAGTAGAGAATGTGTTAAAGACAGTCATCTCCTGTCAAAAAGAAAAACAAGCCCTTGGAGAATTGAGCTCCTGGATTCTTTGTGAGAGGAGCTGATGACTGAAATAGCTCCCTTCTTCTGTCAGTAGAAGATAGAAGTAAGGAACAAGATGACTTTGAAAAAAGCCCTTCAGTATTTTTTGTCTTCTGTGTGATTGTCAGGCACAACATATTTGCATTTAGTTTCCAAGAAGTTTTGCAGGATTAAAACACTTTCAAATTGTTTTCTCGTATGTTTGCACATACACTGAAGTAATGTTTTTAATAATAATGGTCTGGGTTTTTTACTCAGGTTCTGCTGTGGACTGGTGGGCTCTTGGAGTTTGCCTGTTTGAGTTTCTAACAGGAATTCCACCTTTTAATGATGAAACACCAGCACAAGTCTTCCAGAATATTTTGAAAAGAGGTAATTATTTCAGTAATAAAGGAAAATGTGAGTTTCTTTCCCAAAGTTGGCTTTATGGTTTGATTTATTGACTCATCTGCATCATTGTCTATAGATATTCCCTGGCCAGAGGGTGAAGAAAAGCTGTCTGACAGTGCCCAAAATGCAATAGATATTCTTCTAACCTTTGACAGTGCAAAGAGAGCTGGACTGAAGGGTTGGTATTAAACTTCTTTTGCGTTCATTACAACCAAGGTGATATTGATCTGCTCTTGAAACATAGGCATTGTAATTTATTAATCTACTTATGGTCTATATATAGTGCTGGGACATCTGGCATGTTGAAGGTCTCTTCTGTTTCCTCAGGAGTTTTGCCCTTCTGAATGAGGAGAGTTCTGGTGGAAGTTGAAGTGTTTTTCTATTAATTTTTTTTGCTTTAATGTTGTTTTGCTATGAATATTCTGTGTTTAACATCTGACATAGTCAAGTTCACTGTTACTGAGTGCTGTAACAGGTACTTAGGGGACCTAGGCAGAAGTGATTTATAGGCTTTTAATCAAGGTTTCTGTAGTTTGCGAGAGAAGTTTCCTTCACACGGTAATTCCAAGGAGTTTATTCATAAGAATCAGTCTGCCTTTGCTGAATGTATGGGGAATATTTGTAGGAATTACCTACAATATACACTTTACAAAGTCTATCCTTTTTTTCCCCTTTATGGGGTCTTAAATAGTTCCTACTATAGCAGGGCTATATTTCATATAAATTTGATAATAAAGAAGGAAACCTATGAGGTAAGATGTTTTAGAAAGGGGAAGAAATCTTGAAGAATTGCTTAAGGAACTGCTGGGGAAGGAATTATTACAGAAATGGTACCCTGAGAGTAAAGTTAGAAGCTCACAGCCAGTTCAAATCAGAGAAGGCACAGATTTGTAAGTGAAAATCGTGATAGCAACAGGGACTTCTGACTTCTAATGTCTCTTGAAAAACATCTAATGTTTTACTTAACACAAATTATAGTCTTTATCCTAGATAATAGGGTGAAATCTAATTGCCTGTAAAGCATATAAACATAAACTTAGATGTGATAATCGTTCATTTCCTTCTGAGGTTCTTGAAAATTCCTTCTTTGTCAGGACCTACAACATGGTACAGTTTTTCCTTTCCTGTAGAAGATGACACATTCTGCTCATCTTTTCATCTGGAGACAGCCAAGTACATGGGAACTCCATGAGCAGAGCCACATACAGTTCTGATATGGTGGTCCTGCTGCACATGTAGTAGTTGAAGTGGCTAGGAGGAGTTGGAAGACAAACTGCCTTTCATTTTGTCTAAAATAATTATTTGTTCTTTAATACTGTGCTACGTCATTTAATCTGGCAATGTAAGAACAATAAGCAAGTGTTAATGTTTTACCTCATGCTTTTAGTGTTAGGCAGTTTGCATTTACATTTGTGGTGGTGCCTTGGACAAACTTCTGCTTCCTTCTAGATATGATTCTTGCCTGTCCCAGTTTATTTTTTTCCTGTTAGCTTTTAACGTGTGTGATATCTCAAAGCAATAAAGCCACTTCCATCAGGGATTGGTGTTCCTGGGTTATCAGTCTTTATTTGCCTCGTGCTAAAGAGACTGAGCAGATAAGTTGTGGAGTCTTGTAGCTTGGTTTCCCCTGGGAAAAGGTTGGGGAAGAGGAATCTGGTGGTCTGTGGTAACTTGGCTGTAGAGGTGACTTGGATTCTGTATAGAAACTTAAATCCAAGTGGGAGGAAGATGATCTGGGGGCTGTATGAAGCAGAAGGCTGTTCCATGAGCTAGTGTAAGACAGGTGGTCTAGGGCAGTGTAGGATTTTGGCATATCTAGACACTGAGATTGAAGCAATGCTTTGTTTCACCCCCAAGGAGCATCTGACCTGCTGTGTGTGGAACCATTCCTTGTGTCTTGTCTTGTGTCTTGTGTGGAACCATTCCTCCAGCTTGGGGAAGAAAGCTTGCATGGCACTAGCTTGATCCCACTGATGTTGAGTGTACTCAAAACAATTGCAATTTGCCTTTTTGTGAATTAAAAAATACATATGAACAGAAGTAAGTTTTGAATGCTTATGTAATAATGCTTTCTGCATCAATTTCTGTTGCAGAACTGAAGCATCACCCCCTCTTTCATGGTGTAGACTGGGATAATCTACAGAATCAGCCTATGCCTTTCATACCACAGCCAGATGATGAAACTGATACCTCTTACTTTGAAGCTAGGAATAATGCACAGCACCTGACTGTGTCTGGATTTAGCCTATAGCATCAAGATGAAAAACATCAAGATGTGTTTTTTGCACAGCTGCAGGTTGTTCTACAACACTAACACGCTCTGAAGATTCCTTGCCAGATTTAACATGTTTTAAGTTCCCAGTCTGCTTTTATTATTGTATCCTTTACTCTGAGGTGAGACTACTGTATGAAATTTAGCTGCATTCATGCTACTCTTATTTCACGTACTGCACCTTACTGGAGCCAGTGTTGTATTTCTTAAAGGAGGTGACACTTGCCATGGCAAAAAATAAAAAATAAAAAATAGGGCTTAGTATCAATGAGCAAATTGAGCTAGCAGGTGGGAAGTTGTTTTATAGTTAAACATAATAGGGAAAGGTGAAAGTCCATGCTCGCTGCATGTAGAGGTGGTTCAGTGTACTGACTGTCTTGTTTCGGAATAATCCTTTCTGACCACTGTGCAAAACTGATGTTTTCATTCACAGTGGAAAACAAATCTTAATGCAGCATTAAAACAGTGCAATGCTGTTCATCTTAAGGTTTAAGACAGTGGTTTTCCAAATTATCTCTGCTGTGTAAGGCCCATTAATGTAGGAAAGACTGGCTGTAATTCTTCTGGGAGACCATTGGTGCAGGGATGTATACTGGGATCAGTTGTGCTAGACATGTAGTGTTTGAATTGTTGCATTGTAAGCACTCACACTGTGAGGAGACCAACCAGTGTGCCTGCATCCCAGTGGTTACTGCTTCTAAATAGAAAATGCTGGGTGTCTGTGCTCAGCCGTGTCAGATTTCAATGGTAAAACTTTCAGTGGTAGAAAGTAAAATACACCCGAGTGCTGGCTGATGCAGGAGGTATCATTAGCACCGAAGCTGCTATGTACTAAAGACTACAATGTATTGCAAAGAAACAGTTGTTTTGTAAATTCACAGCCAGATTTTAGAGTTTGGAATTTGTTACAAATGTGCATTCAGTATTATGTGTTCTAATTATGGGGAAAGTATATTTAAATGTATTTTAAAACTGCAATACAGCTTGCGTTTGCTAGATCTTAAAGGTTTACTTGTGGGTAATTGTTAAACTATCTTTTTTAGTATTTTTTTCTTGCATAGCTGTGATATCCTCAGCCAACTTGCTGCAGATTTTTATTTTTCAGGTTTGTGCTTAGCTAGATGTCACTTGTGCTAGACAGTGGCTCCAGCTAGTGGCCATGTCCTGAAGCTGAGCACTTTGCTGATGGGTCCTGTTAAGGGACTTCTGCATTTCATGTAGGGAACGAAGCTGTCCCTTCATTGCCCTGCTCCCATGCCCTAGGCATGAGTCTTAGCAATGCAGTTCTGAGAGAACACTTGGCTAGGCCTTGTGCTTTCCTTCCAGGTAGCTTGGGAAAGGTATTGTAGGAGAAAGGAAGGTTCTGAAGGGACGGAAGGGCTGATTCTTATTAACTCAGAACATTTGTCCCTGTTAGAGCTGGTACATTTCATGGTGGAATAGAACCTTGGGAAGCTGCAAAACACACAGTGACCCTCACTCTGTGACCCTCACTCTGTTTGACACAGACTTCAGTTTCTGAAGACTTCTAAACTGTTGATTCTTATGGAAAGCAATGTTACATGAGCAATGTGCAAGGAATTAAATGTGAAGTTATTGAATCCACTTCCATAGACAACACTGAGTATGATCAGAGATTCTTTACCATACTAATTTAATAAAAATGCAAATTTTTACTCTGCGAACTTTGGAAAATAGAAATTAAAACAAAAAACACTCACTGTACAATTCCTTTTTCTTTATTTGCACTCTTGTTTAAGAGAACTGATCTTACAGGAATGAATATCAGTTTCATGCTAAGAAAGCTATTCTATAAAAGTGTGTTCAGAAATGATGCAAATAAAACACTGCAGCTGTTGTGTACAGTACCTTATAAATGGTTATGAAGTGCTCCCTATCATGGGGGAGGGTGGATAGTTACAGTGGCTGACATCTTGAAGATAAACAGCTTCTAACTCCTTGAAATCATTCTCAGTCAGCTGCCAGCGCCACAGGAGCTGCTAAGCTTTTCCAAACCAATTGAAGGAGCTGTAGAACTACCCAAGGTTCAGCTGACTTTGAGGTAATACAAAGCTTTTGCAATTACATAGAGTGAGAGAGGATGGTGTGGGCAGCTGCCAGGCACAGAGTTGTATTAACGTCCGATGGTTCTTTTAATGGGTTATATAATGCAGCACAAAACCTACAGATGCTGTAGAACCATGAATCTGCTGACAAACCAGTGTGTTTAATGCAAACCATTGTCCCTGCACTGTGTGTATGTGGCTGTCTGTAACTGTTAACACTCTGCACAGTTAGCACTGTGGATAAGTAACAGCCCATTCTCTTTGGTACCTTGTATTTATCCTGATCTTGGCAAACGGAGTTGACAGGGACTGTTCTGTGTGTGGGTTTTTGTTTAAAGCTATCAATCCTGGCCGCATTCTTCAACGTGAATCATCTCCCAGAGATACCTTATTACCCTGCATACCACAGCTTTTCCCTGGATACTTTTTGACTGGAAATACTACAGGCAAAAAAACAAAAAGTTACAAACATGGGAACTGAAAGCGATTTAAAGCTTCCTCCCCATTAGTAATTGACTACAGCTATTTGCATATGCTGGCAAAGATGTTGGTCCCTTGCAGCTGGAGCGTTTGATCTGGTGTTGGGGGAAGGCCTGTGTATTTATTTATGTGTTGTTTGTGTTTGTTTTTTTTTACACAAAGGCACTCCTTAGTGGTTCCTCTGCTACCAGAAGGGAAATAGCGTGAAGGCAGAAATACAACTTTGCACTGTATTGTCTGCTACTGTCTGGAAAAGACAGTACAACTCTTCTCTTGTGCCCTGAGCTGAGTACCTCATTGCAGTTGGAGCATCTTCCCTGTTGTTTCATCCACTGTAAAGCTGTGCTCTGAGATGCAGGTGGATTCACTGCTTCAAAAGTGCCATGGATGCTTGCAGTGCCACACAAACCCGTGATGACTGCAGGGCCTTGTGAGGAGAGCCCCAGATGGAAGAGGGGCTGCCAGTTCTCGGCAGCACTGTTCTCCTTACACTGCCTTCCAGTTAGCGCTGTCTTTGTACTCTGGCAAATGACAGCGATTTTCCTTCAAGGTGAGGTAACAGCTAACTGGAAATTTGAGTCCTATCAGGCTCTGGTCTTGGACTTTGAGGCCCCATCAGGAGGCACCAGTAAGCACTGTAGAAGCTGTGCTTTGTATTACAGCCTTTAGGTTGAAGCTGCTTCAGCCCACAAGTTCTGAGCAGCCTCCGCACCCAGCATGCTGCATTTACTTAACATGAAGAAAGTGCAAGATTAAATACAAAATATTAAAGGATTGATTTATTGAAACATTAATAAATAACACATAACACATGCCTATGCTTATTTCAGTGGGAAGTTAACAGGTACCTTTGGGAATGTCTGTACCATCTCTGAAAGGAAGCCACCCACATGGGACATGGTTACCAGCAGGGAGAGGCACTCCACGGTGCTCCGTCCTGCTGGGGTAGGTTGGAAGTTACCTTCAAGCTAGAGTGTTGCTCCTGTATAATCCTTTCTGTTGTTTTATATTAAATTAAGCACTCTAAGGGCTTTAAGCTACAGGCACAGTGGCTTCAGGTCACAGTAGAACTTCCCCTCCAGCATAAGATTTGTTCAGACCTGAGTTTTTGGTACATCTCATGCCAAAACTGACCTCTGTCAGATGGAAGCTGATTGTTACAGTCTTCAAGGATGTTCTGATCATTTTATTTTGTAATTCAGCTTTACAATAAGGAAATCATAAGAAGGAAAAATAATTCATAAAAAAAAGAAAAAAAAAAAAAAAGGGGCTTAAAACAAGATTAAAATTGCCCCAGTTAAGACAAACATTGAATTCTGTGATTACATTTTTTACAATATAGCTTGTATGAAAAATGCTTTTCAAACGATAAAAGATTTCCAGGAAGGGCAGAAAAGAGCTTTCCTCAGTAATCTGTAATATTTGGTGTGGATGGAGAATGAAAGTGCATCAATAATATGGTGAATTTCTATGATTCAAATCTTACGCACAGGTTGTGAGATAACTTAATTCTTTAAGGTGAAGAAGTGTCTTTGTTTTCTCATTAATTTTAGTACACTTCCGTTTTGTAGAAATAAGACTGACATACATGTTTACCTACCTACACATGCACATCTCTAGCTGTATCTTGGTTAATAAATCCTCCATAAAAGAAAAAGAATCGGCACCAAAATTTAAGTTTTGTTCTCTAAGAAATCAGAAGGATAGGAGAGAAAGGAATACCAAACCCAACATTTTTCCTAGTGCGAGTGGGGAAGAGTGCACAACAGATGAGGGATAGGAGCTCTTATTTTAATTTGACATAAACTGACAAAAGAAAACTTGCAATGCACAGAGCTTTGTCAAATCTCAGAGATATACTTACAGAGCTTGCTTTCTTAAAAGCACCTTGTGCCTCAAGTATGGGTTTCAGTTACAACAAGCTGTAGCCAACAAGAATATAGCTATCAATCAACATTAAAAATATAAGGTGCAGCCTTTTCAGATGGATCCCTTGCTTTGGAGGGATCACACCTACTTACAAATACATACTTCCCAGTCCTCTGTTACTAAGGGCTCTAACTTCCAGGATGTTACCACTTGTAATACCTCATTTACGATCCTGAAGGATAACCGAAGCTTCCCACTTCACTGCTGAACAGTTTACAAGGAAAGTTGTCCCACATCGGTTTAGCAGCAAAAATAACCAGTTGAATTCCTAAGAGCTACACTGTATTTTTCAACAGTTCACGATGTATTAATTCATACTTCATTAGTGCTTTCATCTCATAGTACATAAACCTGTGGAAAAACAGGTAGGGATATTTTCATTGTAACCTTATTTCTATATTAAAGTGACAGCTTTACGTATTTTGCTTTTTCTTTTACAAAGATGACATTTTCTCTGTTATCTGGCATCAGCAAGACTAGTAATTCCTAAAGGCCCATCCACGAACAGGTTCCAAAATAATTAGTGTTCATGTGGTTTTAAGGATGAAATTATTAGATTTTATTTGTAACCTAGGAGCAGCAAATCATTCAAGTATCAGTGGTGTTAGTCCTTAAATGTTCAGCTCAAAGGTAGAACAAATATTACTATAACAGAAGGAACATTATCCCAAATCCTGAGGTTCTCTTAAGAATTCAGAATTCCTTTACTTCCCAGGGCCACCTTCTTCTAGCAGTCTTAAACAACATCATGAATTCTCAGTTCAGCTTTCTAGAAGAGGAAACAAATAATCTAGGTTAATGTACTCTCACATAACAGTTTTTAATTTGTCTAAATACCGAAATTGATTAAGGTCACACATGAAAGAAAGATTATCAGTCCTTTAAAATACAACACTGATTCAAGATTCCTGAACGTCTGCCTTAGATTCACAGAATCACAGAATGGTTCGAGTTGGAAAGGACCCTTGAAGGTCACCGGGCCCAACTCCCCTGCAGTGAACAGGGACACCTACATTACATCAGGTGCTCAGAGTCCCGTCCAGTCTGACAGTGAAATGTCCCCAGGGATGGGGCATCCACCACCTCTCTGGGCAACCTGTGCCAGTGCCTCACCACCCTTAGTGGAAAAAAAACCTCTTCCTTATATCCAATCCAAATCATCCCTCTTTAAGTTTGAAACCATTTCCCCTTGTCCTATCACAGCAGTCCCTCCTAAAAAATCTTTTCCCTTCTTTCTTACAGCCCCCTTTAGATACTGACAGGCTGCTCTCAGGTTCCCCCGGAGCCTTCTCTCCAAGCTGCACAGCCCCAGCTCTCATAGGGAAGCAGTTCTACCCCTTGCATCATTTTTGTGCATTTTCTTTGGATGCATTCTTAAGTTAGGGAACAACATATAATTTGACAGAACTGGCAGAACTTAGACAAAGTATATAAAATACCACTAGGGATTCTGACCTGCAGGTTACATTCATTACTATTGTCTCCTGGAGTACAGGAGAGGAGCTTGTGGTAAAGGAGGGTGACAGCACCAGACCACATCAGCACTTTGCATTCATGAGCTGCTTTCCAAGTGCTGAGAGCAAGCTGAGATATCCCCAGGGGTACGAGCGAGGCACAAAGCTTGTGCAGACTGGAGAAGGCTTTCTCACTGCTCCTTCCATGGAATCTGCTCCACAGTTTAATGCTGAGTTACCTCACAGAGTAGCAGAGACACCTGGCATCTGCTCTAGGACAGCATGTGTATTTTAAAACCAAATGTATACGATATGGTCAATACATGCACTGTGTACACAGCTATTGCCTAAAAGCTTACACACCTTCAGAGAGTACATGCTGAAACTGGCACTGTGACAACAGAGAAGGCATTTTGTTTCATTTTGTCTCCAAGTGTACTGATCAACCTCCTCCCCTTAGCTACAGGAGATGAAACTCCGGATGGAAAAGTGATGCAGAAACAGTCCTCAAACATAGGAACCTTTCTTCACAAACAGAAGAGAAAGGGACTGGAGCATCTGTTCTATAAGGAAAGGCTGAGAAAGCTGGGACTGTTCAGCTTGGAGAAGAGGAGGCTCAGGGGAGATCTGAAGGGAGGATGCCAAGAGGGTGGAGCCAGGCTCACCTCAGTGGTGCCCAGCGCCAAGACAAGGCATAAAGCAAAACACAAGATGTTCCACACTAACATCAGGATACAGCCCTTTGCTGTCACGGTGACACAGCTCTGGCACGGGCTGCCCAGAGGCAGTGGAGTGTCCTCCTTGAAGATCTTCAGAAGCAGTCTGGATGTGGGCCTGGGCACCCTGCTGTGGGTGTCCTTGCTTGAAAGGGGTTGGACCAGGCAGACCCAGGGGTCTCTGCCAGCCTCAGCCATGCTGGGATCCTGTGATTTTACCATTCAAGAGAACACTATGCCACGAAAACTTTCAATAATTAAGAAGTTATAATTTAAGCTAATTCTAGTAAGGTGGACACATCGCAGACTGCAGAGTGGCAGAAAAGAAAAAGCTCAGGACTAAAAGGTAAGAGCACTCAATATTATCAGGTGCAAAGTATGTAGTAACCAGGGAACACTGATTTGATATTATGATGATTAAAAAGTTGAGAAAAAGTAAGGTGAGAATACAGCTGTCCTTCATCTAAAGGAAGCCAAAGTAGACATTACAAAAATACCATTGCAAGTTGCTTGTAAATGTAAAATAAGAAATAGGTGACATGAGACTCCATAACATATTTGACAGGACATAGCTGTCTCATGGCACAAGGTAAGTA